GTTGTGATTGAGCTAAAATAGGGACCGGCAGGCAGGAAGGAATCGACCACTTTAATAGATGTTAATCGACGCGAAGGTTTAACAACTACAATGCCCAATATGACGTTTATCAATATAATGGAGTGATCAATTAGTAATATTATTTAACTTAGTAACTAAATGTTACAAAATACTTTAACGATTAATTTAAAATTTCACCGATACTTTCGTGACTATTTGTGAAACTAACTCTATAAGTTAGCTTGTTCTATAAGTAATGATATTGTAAATATGAATTAATATCTTCGAAAAATAACAATAATTCGGTGCGGGTACAATTTTATTAAAATATTTAAAATCTTCCACGCCAGAATATCACTAGTATGTGATTAGTGGTTACAAACTATTTGTGCCACAATTCAACTATGTATGTATAGGCCTATGTAATTGGTGCAATAATGCAATTCCATGAATGGAAATCTTTATGAGAGCTTTTATAATTTGTTACTTTCCATCATTAGTGAGTGGAAACTAATTCATTTTTCCAATATTGACAATCTGTTGGCTTTATGACATGGACCACCTTTCATACATGGCTATTTTTCTGCATCTAACAATTTAGTGTTTTTTTTTTTGATCTATGTGGAATGAGTATTTAATGAGAGAAAATCAAAATTTTCGCAATATAATTTTTGCACTCTTGTGAGTTCTTGTCGTCGTTGATATTATTATCAAATAAAAAATAAATCTAATTTACAAATCCGTACAAGAACTAGTTTACTTAGCTCATTGAGATTTTTCCTTTTATGAATATATTTGATAGTGTGCACGAATTGATCAATAAATGTCTGTTACTACGATCTTGCCACAGTGGATTTAGATCTTTCTTCGATTTGAGCTACTTTTGGTACCCATTCTTTAAAATTAATTTTTTTCATTTTAACCATATATTCCACCAATAAAATAATTTTGCACTTAAATCCATAATTTTTTCGTATTTTTAACCAAATCCTACAAAAATTTCATTTTTCTTAAAATTTATTCTAAAATTTTTTACATCGAACAAACTCTAAGTTTGTGTTCTTATAGCTGGAGTGGTTAAAAGACAAAAAATGTCATTGCTAAACGTAATAGTTGAGTTAAAAGACAAAAAATGTCATTGCTAAAAGAAATAGTTGAGTTCCAAGAATATAAGGGCTTTGAACCTTGAACAATTCTTTTATTAGGAATCATTTAGGGCCTGTTCTCTTTGGTGTTTTCGGGCCATTTTCTATTTTCAATTTTTCAAAACGGTGAAAATGCGTTCTCTTTCCCATTTTCCAAAACGAATTTTTGAAAACACAAAAACAATTTGTACACAAAATGGAAAACAGCCCAAAAGTCGTTTTGGCCGTTTTTAGGCTAAAACATGCAAAACTCAGAAAACACGGGAAACGGCCTCATTTCCTCTTCTTCCACTGTGCGTGAGAGACTCATGAAAACCCCCGCCTTCTTCCTCAACAATCGACCACCACCCGCCACCTAGACCACCAGACACCACTACCATTCGATCCCCTTAACCTCCCTCTTCAACCTCTTGTCATCACCTAGCCATGGAGTTGCAGATAACAGCCCCAATCACCACCCAAACCGCGCTACCAGTCTCGATTTGGCCATATTTCCACCACCGTCGGCCACCGTTTCGATCGTGGACGACCACCAATCCACTCCTCTCAACCATGCGCATCCATTACCACTATGGGTCACCTGCAATTTTGTCCGGAATTGAGTGAGTTTGTGAAATTGGATTCCAACTGATGAATCGAGGTGAGGTTCAATACTCTGCATATACTTCTGTAAGTTAAGATGAAATTGGAGTTGGTTATTTGGGGGGTGATTGGAATTGGAATTGTTTATGATACTTTATTTCTCTTGAATTTCTGATGCGGTTGTTTATGGCTTTCTCTTTGCCTTTAAAACTGGTTGCCTCTGGCTGGATGATAAAATTCTTAGTGTAGTTAGATTTTCTTGATTATGAATATTAGTCATTGGTGCATTGAAGTTGGATGGATGAGGAATTGAGACAGAAGCTTTAATTGGATTTTGTGGTTTGATTTTGAAGTGTACTGTTTTATGGTTTTGGTTTCTGGGGGTGAGTGGAAGGGGGTTCATGTCAATGTTATGGCAAATACAAATAATAGGCAAGATATTCAAGATGAATTTTAATTGGTTTCCTTCTAAACCTTTTTGGGAAACTAGGATCGAGAAATTTGCCTAATCATGTGGCAAGTGTTGTGGAATGAAAGCTGTAACAATTTCTAGTATTACTTTAGCTGAAAATGTTTTTGTATTTTTTGTGAAGAATCCTTTAGGAAGTTCAATATCTGTTCTCAACTTAGCAGAAGTTGTCAATGAGAAAGTTGATGCTTCAAGCATTGGAATGGGTGGTGATAGTTATTTGCAGGTTCTCTGTAGACAATCCTTCCCTGGTCCTCTTACAAGTGGAAGTCTTGGTGTTAAGGAGTTGAACAAATGGATTGATGAGAGGATAATGAATTACAGGAAGGGCGAAGTTTTAAGGTTACTCCTGTCATTGCTTAAGATAGCCTGTCAGTATTATGGAAAACCTCCTTTCGGTAGTGATGCAGTATTGAAGGTACATTACATATTTGTCCTGTAAATGCAGTTGCAACTACTTGAGTTTACTAACTATAATTATCATCACATTGGATCCATTTATTTTTTTTTCAATTGATCCATCTATACCATTACGCACCTCTTGTGTAACACATTCTTGAGTTCTGATGCACTAAAGCAGCACAAGTCTTGCTCAAATGCATGAATGTTGCTGTTGCATTAGCAATATAAGAACTTTCTTGTTCATGAGATTTTTTTTTCTCATTGAGAAAATAATAACATGCATGTGGCCCATTAATCTGCAGCCCTGATGGTAGATGATCTTTATATATATTGCAAGAAAATTTACTTCAAGATCCTGTTGAATATACGTATTTTACTGAGTTTGGGCTGAAGTTGGGCAGCAGCTTTAGACGTGCTGAATGTGCTGCTGAGAAGCTATAAATGTGCTGAAATTGGTTTTGGAGAAACGCTTATTGTGATATGCAGAAGGTTCAATCTCAGGATGAAGAAGTGAAGATGCCTGACAATCTTCTTGGTGACAATTTTTTGTAATCCATCTTCTTCCTCAATCTCATTTTTGTAATCCAACATTTGGGTTCTTGATGCTTGACAATCATCTTCTTGGTGGCAATTTTTTTGTTTATTCATGTAAAAATGTTTTATAAATTTTGTTAATTCGTTGAATTAATTGTAATGGTCATTACTTATTTATAAAATACTCCGTTTTGCTTGTTATGTTACCATTTTTTTAGTTTAAATTGCACATAAGAGTGAAAAATGGTTTCCTTGTCTGAAATCAAATAGTTTGAAAAATTTGTTATCTTTGTATGAAGAATGTGATGAAAATAACATATGCATTTTTTTTGTTCTGGACACAGAAATAAGACAAAGCATTTAAACTATTAAAATTTATTGAATAATCAGATTTATTGAATAGAATATTATAAAAAAAAGATTCTCAAAATTTCAAAGTAAACGCGTTTTTAAGTTTTCTATTTTGAGAAACAGTTTTTCAAAATGATAAAGAGAACGAGTTTTCAACAATTACAAAACAGACTCTCAAAACAGAAAACACAAAATGAATTCAAAACTCAAAACACAAAACTGAAATATGAAAAGAACGGCCCCTTACCCACTGAAGTTTTACTTGGAAAATTTTTCTTTAAAAGTCATCAAACAAAAAAAATTTTAATTCAACATTTGCTAAAGAAAGCAATGACAAATATCATTGTGTTCAATTATTGATCAAAGTAAATAAAGATAAAAAAGAAAAACTAATAAATAGACTTGAGCACTTCCCCTAAGTTACCACTCGATCATATTAATCTCTTTTAACAAAATAATACATTCTTAAAGGTTGAGCCCCGCCCCGCCCCTAGAGTATTGTGGAGGAGGTAAATCGTGGGATGTGTCTCAGCAGACCAGGGTACAAGAGCTGTCATACTGGTGCTCATAAAGAGTCCAATTACATACATTGTAAGAGACAAGAATCGAACCCTCACACTGCGGCTGCCAGTTCAACTGAGAATACTTCACTCATATTCTTTGCACAACTGAGCTATGCCTCGGGGGACACAAAATAATAAATTCTTATTCACTCTTGTGGTAGATTGCTTCAAAATAGCTTCAATCAATGCAAAACATTATTATTTTAGTGAAAACTAAGGTTGGACTCCCTACGTTTTTTTTTGTTTTTTTTAAGTATTATGATTTTGATTTTAACATTCAAGGTTTTTGATTGTTAGCATGTTTACAAATGTGAATCTAGATCCAAACGTGATAGAAATTGTCAATGACGACGTTAAAATTCCACGCGTCTTAGAAAAGTTGAAATACAAAATCATCAAATCACTTAAAAAGTTCAATTTCACATCATGAGATTAACGATTTTTGTTACTTACTGATCTGATTCACATATTTATATAAGAATTAAGCTATTTGTACACCCAATGGTGTACACAATGATTTTGTGTGCGGGCCCCCTCCATGTGAGGGGGTGTAAACCATTGTGTACACATAGCACAACCCTTTATATAATGTGGATATCTAAAACCTAATTTTTTTTTTAAAAGAAAACATCATTATCATGAATAGATATTCTTAAAACCTTAATCAAATTCTCCCTCTAAAATATTTCATAAATTTATACATTTATTACGTTTTCTTTCTCATCCTCACCAATTCAACGCAGTACAATTACGATACACAATACAAATTTCTTACACAGCAAATTTCAACCTCACAAGTCCCATCTGTCCCCACTCCCCTTTGTGTTCAACCTACAAATTCTCCTTTCCCCTGACCAAATTATCATCAAAGAATATACACGAATACGTTTCAACTTATCATTACATTGGTATATTGATCGGGCAGCAGAGTAGGGATTTAGGGTGGCGCTGAGCATGAGGAACCTGCAACTGACAGCGAAGGGTTCGTCGGCGGCGATTGATACCGGCGAAGAAGAGAGGTTACTGAGCTCTTACGATGAGGAGAATTTTGAGAAAATATCGGGGAGTTTCAGGAGAATTCAGGTTAGCGTTTCAGGTATGACGTGTGCAGCTTGCTCAAATTCCGTGGAATCAGCTCTCACGAGTTTAAACGGCGTCGTGAAGGCCTCCGTTGCCTTGCTACAGAACAGGGCTGATGTCACTTTTAATCCTGCCTTAGTCAAGGTCTGGTCAATTCTTCTTCTCTGTTTTGTTAATATCATTGTGTAATCTATGTGAATAATTTTTTGAACTAGATTAAGAGTAAATGAATTAATGGGTTAGTGATAGTTTTAATTTTAGTGGGTTATATGTTGGTGACAGTGATTTGAACTTTTTTTATACTTTTTATTTGAAATTATGATCTGGGATTTCTATTAATAGTGATTCTCTATCATGATTTTTGTGTTTTATGGTGAATATTTATGGTTCCTGAGTTTATATATTCTTTTTCCTTTTTCGATGTTTTGAAGCTCCTTTTTTGATGTACCCAAGCCGGATTCTAGAGCCTAAATTTGTGGTGGTGTTATGCCACAAGATTTAGGAAAATAGTTGCAAGTGTATGGTTATAGAACTGGGTTTATGGATGGAAACTGACCACTAACAATGAAAAGTATAGTTTTGTAAATCTGACTGCGCTTGATGTTTAAGCTTGAGCTTCCAATGTTGCGGCGAACAAAATTTTTGTTGATGTTATGTTTTAGGTTATTATTTCCTGGCATTTGGGCGGAGTAATTCTTTTTAAACAAATCAGGAAACACTAAAAAATATATATTTTTCTTCCGAAAATGATTTTCATGCTTCAATTTTCACTGATCGGACTACTCATTACAACTTACGCATAATAAATGAAATGCAGTAGGTCGAGTTAGGCGATAAACCCTTTAGTCTTTCCCGAAAACCATCAGTGGGGTTGTTCGCCTTGATTTTCTGCCATGTGGTAAATGACTGAATTTTACATAGGGTTTATGTTAGATATACAAGCAGTGGCAGAAAAAACTATTGTATGTTTACCACATTATTTGGAGCTAGATGCATATGCATATGAAACAGCAATATATATAAAGATTTGTCTGGTCCAAGCCAACAGAATTAGACAATCTCATAAATTGTAAAAAATGTCTATCTCCTCTACGTTGTTCCTCTGCATCACTGCATCATTTTTAAATAAAGCAGTCTCGACAAGGCATCTTTTAGCTATAGGAGTAGACATTGTGTAGTACTTAAATCTTAAATGAAGTTGCCGTTGAGTCGTGCTATTCCTCCATCGTCATTCCGAGGATAGTTTCCTTGCCTCTTCAGTATGGTCTTTTTTCTTAGTTTTGAATGACTATTAGTTTTCCTACATTTTGTTCAGGATGAAGACATTACAAATGCAATAGAAAATGCAGGATTCGACGCTGAGGTTCTGTCTGAACCACGTACGTCTTGCACTAAACCAGATGGTACATTAGTAGGACAGTTTACAATAGGAGGAATGACTTGTGCAGCTTGTGTAAATTCTGTAGAAGGAATTCTGAGAGCTCTCCCAGGTGTGAAGAAGGCTGTAGTTGCTTTGGCTACTTCATTTGGGGAGGTCGAATATGACCCCACTGTTATAAGTAAGGAAGGTATAGTCAATGCAATCGAAGATGCTGGCTTTGAGGCTTCCTTTATGCAGAGTACTGGGCAGGATAAAGCTGTATTAGGGGTTAATGGAGTATCAAGTGCAACGGATTTACAGCTGTTAGAAGGCATTCTTTGCAACTTAAAGGGCGTGAGACAATTTCATTTTGAGCGAACATCAAAAGAGTTAGAAGTTCATTTTGATCCAGCGTTTCTTGGTTCTAGATCATTAATTGATGAGATTGAAAATGGAAGCTATGGAAAATTCAAGTTACTTGTCAAGAATCCTTATACAAGAATGGTTTCTAAAGATCTAGAAGAATCATCAAAGATGTTTCGGCTATTTACTGCATGCTTGTTTCTTAGCGTGAGTTATTCTATTTTGCATTGTTGATGCATTCTTAATTGACTTCATGTTCGTTAAGTTTTTTTCCCAAGTTACTCTTTTGGAAAGCCATGTTATGTATTATTTCTTCAGAATGCATTAGTTGGTTGTGGATGCTAACCGATATCGTGATTTAATTGACTTTTTATTCCCAGTACCTTTAAACAAATGGAGTTGCGTAATTTATGTTCCTCTGAGAGTAACCCTGAAAAAAATGATGCTATGATAACACTATCGCCAAGTAATGCTACTGAGAATAATATTATGATATGAATAATTCTTATTTATTTTACTTTTTTGAGCACTCCTTTTAACTCCTAGTCAATTTGTACCAGGTTCCTGTCATTTTCATGCGAGTCGTCTGTCCTCATATCCCTTTCATATATTCTTTACTAATTCGGCGATGTGGTCCTTTTCAAATGGGTGATTGGCTGAAGTGGGCTTTGGTGACTATTGTTCAATTTGTTATTGGTAAGCGTTTCTATGTTGCAGCTAGCAGAGCACTTCGGAATTGTTCAACAAATATGGATGTTTTGGTTGCATTGGGAACTTCAGCTTCATATTTCTACTCTGTGTATGCATTATTATATGGTGCATTCACTGGGTTCTGGTCTCCTACATACTTTGAAACAAGTGCAATGCTAATAACATTTGTACTTTTTGGTAAATACTTGGAAAGTCTTGCAAAGGGAAAAACATCAGATGCTATCAAAAAGCTCGTGGAACTCACACCTGCCACTGCTGTATTGCTTGTCAAAGACGAAGGTATTTTTTTTCTAGTTGGGAATTGGTATGCATGGGAAAAGTTATATTTCATTTGAATCTGTGACCCGATTTTGTAATTTATTTGATGTCATGTCGTGTACAAGTTGAAGTACAAGATAGTGCTTGCTTGGTAGGGATTTTTGAGGGAATAATTGATTTTGAATAGTGATATGATGGGAAATGTGTGGTTGAAAAAGAAGAAAAAATTATTGATGTGATGGAAAATATTATTTTATTGAAAAATGTGTGATTGAAAATGAGAATTGATTTACTATAGAAAATTAGAGGTGTGTTTGAATCATATTATTTTGGAAGAATGTATTATGGAATAGTAGATTGATGGAGAATGTGCGGTTGAAAAAAAAGAAAAAATTATTGATGTGATGGAAAATATTACTTTATTGAAGAATGTGTGGTTGAAAATGAGAATTGATTTGAGAATTGATTTTGAGAATCAGAAACAAACAACCCCATAATATGATAATTTTTATAAACTGAAACAGATGGATTTTGGTGACTTGAAACTTGGACTGAATAAGTATGTTTAACATTGAAGGTGGAAAAATTGTTGGAGAAAGAGAAATTGATGCCTTGCTAATTCAGCCTGGCGACATATTAAAAGTACTTCCTGGCGCAAAGGTTCCTGCTGATGGTTTGGTTGTTTGGGGTTCAAGCTATGTAAATGAGAGTATGGTTACTGGTGAATCTGATCCTGTTCTGAAAGAAGTCAATTCATCAGTTATTGGGGGTACAATAAACTTGCATGGTTCGCTTCATGTACAGGCCAATAAGGTTGGATCCAATACAGTTTTGAGCCAAATTATATCTCTGGTTGAGACTGCGCAGATGTCAAAAGCTCCCATTCAGAAGTTTGCGGACTTTGTGAGTATCACTTTTTTTGCTTTATCATGCTGTACTTCACTTTGACAAGCAAAAAGAAAATTGTCTGCTGGCCTCTATGCTGTTCTTGATGAAGTCACTTTTATGGATTAAACGAATAACCCATATTACCGAGAGCTATTAATCACACAAAATGAGAAAAAGAAGCAAGAATAACACAAGATGTGACATGTTTCACTTTCAATGTGAGAGCTATTGCACCACGTGCTGCAGCCGAAATTGCACTATATCGGAGAGAGAATTACGATGTATTTTGGACTTGCGCCTCTATTTGTTTTTCAGTACTATGATGCATATAAAGGAGGCTTGCCCTAATACTTTTTATGTAGGAGGAAAATATTAGGGAGACCTAATACATGTGCAAATTTTCCAGAGTACCCTTATAACACTTGAAATAATTTGCGGCCGAGGGGAAAAGTATACAGTATATTAGTCTCTACACATCCAACAGACACTGACACATACCCACATTTGTATGCCATTTAATATCTGCATTATTTGTTTGTTTGGAGCCTTGGAACAATTTAAATACAACTGTTTAACTTCAATAATGTTGAATTGATATTTAGGAACTCTTTGGTGAATGTTGACCTATATTTTAAATTTTTAGAAGAGGATGAAAAGCTAGAAAAGCTTGTTATGGTCATAGAATGGAAATGTTTTTCCTAGATTAGAAACATGACAATGATTGTCCATTAATCTCCACATTTACTCCTTTCTTATTCGGTTATTCCTACCTTTTCGAGGTCAAAATTATTTGTTTGCTTTGGAATCTATCTGAGTCATCATCTGTTTTCTTATTGTGGCTGGTTTTGTCACCTGCAGATTGCAAGCGTCTTTGTCCCCGTGGTTGTGACTCTGGCATTGATGACATTACTAGGATGGTATGCTTACTTGGGGCAAACTAATCTGTGGAGAATTTTTTAGTGGTTAATAATTGATATTAATTCTTGTCGAGGTTGCATTTCTATGACTTTGCTTTTCCATGTATTCACAGGTATCTTGCTGGACTTCTTGGATCCTACCCCAAAGAGTGGCTGCCAGAAAATAGCAACTATTTTATTTTTTCCCTCATGTTTGCTATATCAGTCGTGGTAATTGCTTGCCCATGTGCACTTGGACTGGCCACACCTACTGCTGTCATGGTTGCAACAGGGATTGGAGCTAACAACGGTGTCCTCATCAAAGGAGGAGATGCATTAGAGAGGGCACAAAAGATCAATTATGTGGTATTTGATAAGACAGGCACCTTAACTCAGGGAAAAGCCACAGTTACAACTGCAAAAGTTTTCTCAGGAAAGGATCGCGGTGAATTTCTTAAATTAGTGGCTTCAGCTGAGGTAACTAACATCCTCTTTGTTGATAGAATTCAAACTCTGTTTCACTCAATTGGATTCCTTCTTGTTGTTGTTGTTGTTGTTGTTGTTGTTCTTCTTCTTCTTCTTCTTCTTCGTTATTATTCTCTCTCTCTCTCTCTCTCTCTCTCCCTCTCTCCCCCTCGCCCCCCACCCCCCCTTTTCTTCCAATATCTCTTTAATCATTCATATGGTACCCCCTTGACCAGACAGAGGGAATACAGAGGAGAAAAGCATTGACCTGCTCATAAATGGAAATTCCTGTTTTAATTACAAGACTGTGAATCCTTTTATGCCACTCTGCTCCCCTTTCTCCAGTCACGAGGAGAAGAAACCTGCAAGGAGAAAGAGAAACAGTTTCAAATTTCACCAGTACCTTTCCTGGGAAATGGAGTCTCTTCTGCCCATGGATAGCAGAATTATGTAATTCCCAACAGTGATTGAAACCTGAATAATATCGTTGGGAGTTTTAATTGATGATTTTCATTTAAAAGATCATATATCAACCACTCTAGGTGCCATGTTCTATTAATCACAAAAATAAGCAATACAAGAAAACTTTGATGCTTGGACTCTTTGAAATAATTAGAGTACCCATGTCGGACACGACACGACATGGATATGGGTATGGGATATGTGTCAGATCCTTCAAATTTCAATCGGATACTTCGTCGTTTTTGCTTCTTCTTCTTCTTCCTTCTTTTTTTTGTCTTTTCCTTTTCTTTCCCTTTTCTTCTTTCTCACTTTTGCTCTCTATAAACCTAGCGTCGTCACCGAGAGGGTGGAGAAAGGTGGTAGCGCTAAGTTTTACCTTCTTTTTCTTTTTTCTTTCTATTTTCTTCTTTTTTTCTCCTTCTCTCTTTGTATCGGTGGTTTAGGGTTTTGTTTGGATAAAATGAAAATAGGTTCCATATAGTGCTCCTTAGTGATCCATTTAGTTCAAATTACAATCAAGTTCCTCATCTTCTATTTTATATAACATTTAGTCCATGTTTGAGCCACATTAAAATTCTGATTCTCATTTCTTCTACTCATTTTCAATCACACATTTTTCAATAAAATAATAATTTTTCATCACATTAATAACTTATCCTTCTTTTTCAACCACACATTCTCCATCAATCTACTATTCCAAAATACATTCTTCCAAAATAATGTGGCTCAAACACACCATTAGTAATTCTAATAATTGAAAACTAAACCCCAAAATTTTATTTTATTTGTGTTAACCCCTTATTCAGTATCTATTTCTTGTATTGTGAATAATTAGTTTTGGTCTATTCAAAATGACATCTTGGATTAGTAAAAAAATTGAAATTTGAAAGACGTACTAACGTACCTGTATTTGAAATTTGGACTCTTTTTAGCCATGTCCTCGTATCCTACATTTTAGAATATAAAAGATCCGACACTTAGATATGTACCCGTACCCTAGTCGGAGCATCATAGCAAGAAAATGTACACTTCCCCTTCTAGAGACAGAGTACAATGATAAGCTGAAGAAACTACACTCGTGTCCTTGTCACAAGTCACCATAAGCCGAGTACAGAGTCTATTCAGCTTTTGGTCACTTTTGGACTCTGCTTGATGGAGATCGTGTTAATTTATTACTGCAAATTTATATGCTGATAAGCTTCTTTTTCTGTTTTTTTCCAGGCCAGCAGCGAGCATCCTTTGGCTAAGGCAATACTCGAATATGCCTGCCATTTCCATTTCTTTGATGAAGCTTCCACTATGAAGAATGTCCAAAATAAGTTCTCTGGATGGCTTCTCGGCGTCTCGGATTTTTTAGCCTTGCCTGGAAAAGGCATTCAGTGCTTTATAGATGGAAAACATGTTTTGGTGAGTTTCTTAAAACAAATATGCATGTGGTGATTGCAGAATGGAAGAAGTTTTGATGTTTCCTATTTTGATGAGAAGAAATTTGTTTCTGTGCTTGTTTATCCTCATCAAAGGTTGAATGCCCTGAACAGGTTGGTAACCGGAAGCTGATGACTGAAAATCAGGTTATTATTTCGAGTGATGTGGAAAATTTTGTTGTAGAGTTGGAGGAAAGTGCTGAGACTGGAATACTTGTGGCGTATGATAATGAACTAATTGGTGTTCTTGGGGTAGCAGATCCACTAAAGAGAGAAGCTGCTGTTGTCATGGAGGGCCTTGTGAAAATGGGTGTTAATCCTGTCATGGTTACTGGGGATAATTGGAGAACAGCTCAGGCTGTTGCCAAGGAGGTTGGTATCTTGTTCCTTTTTCTTTCGTATATTTGGTTTTTTTCTGTTACTGAGTTTGGAGAGAAGTTTTAACTCTTTTTCTAAGAGCTATTGTCTACAACTGAGCTCACTTGAGCTTGTGTGTAATTTTTCCATTTATCTGTCAGTGAGTCCCAAATTTGCAGAATCTGTAGAATTTGAGAAATTAATATAATATAATTTTTCATTGATATAAATATGATTTGCAATTGACTATTTATAGATTACATAGGAGAAATAGATAAACAAGAAATAATTACCAGAAAAGTTATCTTCTAAAATATCTTCTAAGATATTCACTCATTGACAGCTGACTTCCCTAAAATCTAGCAATGCTTATTCATATTGATTTGATAGACTTTTCCAACAGAATCACATCATTTGTTGCCGTGCAGGTTGGCATTAGAGATTTTAGGGCAGAGGTGATGCCTGCTGGAAAAGCAGACGTTATTCGTTCATACCAGAAAGGCAGAAATGTAGTTGCAATGGTGGGTGACGGCATTAATGATTCTCCTGCCTTGGCTGCTGCTGACGTTGGTATGGCAATCGGGGCAGGGACAGATATTGCAATAGAAGCTGCCGACTATGTGCTGATGAGGAATAATTTAGAAGACGTCATCACAGCTATTGATCTTTCAAGAAAAACTTTCGCCAGGATTAGATTGAATTATGTATTTGCTATGGCTTACAATGTGGTAGCTATACCAGTTGCTGCCGGGGTTTTATTTCCTTGGCTGAAAGTGAAGTTGCCACCATGGGTATCCGGTGCATGCATGGCTTTGTCATCCGTAAGTGTCGTATGCTCGTCTTTGCTTCTTAGGAGATATAAAAAACCCAGGCTTACAACTATTCTGGAAATCACCGTAGACTAGTAATTCCAATGTAAAGGGGAGAAAATTGAAACAGATGTTACCTTAGAAAAGTCAATTGGAAATTAATGATAGTTTACAATGCCCAATTTTGTGTATAACTTTTGCATTTTTTCCTTTCACTTTCCTCTTCTTCCATTATCAACCACTCGTGTAATCGAATGTACATGTCTTTTTTTGTTAAGAGTAATGTTATGTGGCATTACTGGTGCCTGCAGTGGATCCTACTGGTGCCTGCAGTGGATCCTACTGACTACATGAGACTTGAAGTTGGGATGCTTTTGAGTCGGTGAACAATATAGCAGTGGGTCTACTACCATCGAGATAGGTGTTATATAGCATTATTCTTGTCGTTCATGCCTAATGGATCATTAAATAAGAACAGGTGGACATGGAACTAGGCAAAAATCCATTCAACCAGTGCTGAATGAACACATGAGCAGTACTGGAGTTACTGCGGATGCCTTAACGCAAACTCCCATCGCAATCCAACTTGATTTAAACACTGCTTTATGGAAGTAATATTCTGGGAATTGAACAGAGTTTGTTAATAGAATAATTACACCGTGGACTTCTTATGGAAAGCTAATATTCAAGACTTACGGCATATATTAAGGTCGGAGACTAATATTGCAAATTTTCCTTTATGAGTAATAAAGCGGAGTGAACTGAAATGAAACAAAGGAGTGCCACCTCAAACGAGAATTTGCTCAGGTTGTAAATATCAGATCAGCCTGTCTCTACTCTTCATTATCACACTTTGAAGATGCCTTGGCGGTGAAATTGTAGACACGTGATCTTCTTTGTTAATCTGCTTTAAAGTCATCCGCCTACACCTGCCTCCAAATATATTTTTGAACACGAATCACACAAGGGTAGATTACAAACCTCTAGTAAAGCGCATGCACCATATATAGAGCGAGAAAGAAAAATGGCGAGTAGTGAAATAGAACAGCAATTCAAGGTGGTGCATGAGCCTTCGAACAAGCCTAGAAACTGTATAATTGCTCTCTCTCTCTCACTCTTATTTATTTTTATGTGTGTCCGTATATTTCGGATCCTATTCGATATATGGGAATGATATTTCCCAATACATAAATTGGCTTTGGTTGATGTTGCTTAACATTGAGTTGTCACAAGCGTTCATTTCTGCGTTATTTGCAGATTAAGTGATGGAAAAAGATAAAAAAAACTTTTAGAAGTGAGTAGTTTTTGCAGTGCTGCTTATTGATCTATTACTAAATGATGGCCTGAAATTTCCCACACTTCTTATTCTCTATATTTGGGTTGCATTTGACTTCCACCAATCAAAAAAGTTGCTTCTTTTTCTCCCCTTCGATAGGATTAATTCCATCAAGTTGGCACTTTGTATGGCTAATTTCTAGCAAGAATCCGGCAACTTGCCTTTGTATTCAGTAGTAGAAAAATTAGACTATGGTTATGTGGTATTAAAAGTCCGAATGATAATTGTTACATTTCGGACCTTTCATGACACAAAAATAACTTTTCTCTAAGACAATACTAAATGTATGTAACTAGTCGTACCATAATTCTAATACGACATCAAATTGCTGAATCTGTAAACAGAAAACACAACTGTTGGAGTTAAGGTGAAGCCTGCAAGTAGGGCAGGAAGAATGAGAGAGAAGCCACTTATCAGCACAATGAAGATGGAACTGATGGTTGCATTATGGAAGGATTGGATTCTATCACCATTGGAGACTTCCATTAAACAAATTGCACAGCTTGAAGCCGACAATGGTGAGCAAACAGCAATTGCCAAAGTTACCATGTCTTTCCTTTTAAGGTCAGCGTTCACTATACGTGATGCAACCTAGCCGGCTGGTTCTGTTAGTGCCCGCAGTTGATGAGATCATAAAGAACGCTAGCAAGTTGAAAGGAAAGTCTGTATCTCAAGTAACGCGCATATATAATATACAATTTTATTTCACTTTTGCCTAATTTTTCTTGTGTGCATACATATCACAGTGATTTGTTTCACAAAACATGTTTCAAACAATGTAAAAGTCAGTTTTTTTTCCTAACTAAATTTAGCTATTTCGTTCGGTACTTATTTGATACAGGGGGCGTTCCTAAGATTTCTATACCTCACAAGCAAGTGAATGGCGAATGTGTGAAAGACCCACTTGTACATTGGATTCTTGTTCACTTCAACATTAAAGAGAGGTCCCTGTACATCTACAGCTCAAGTCGATTAACCGTGAGAGACGTGATGATCTTCTCCGATGTGGAGGCCTTTGCATGTATTCTGCCATGTTTGATGGTTAATAATAATATTTGGGAGCCCAACCCTTTTGCCATATGTAACTTTATCATATGGTGTATTTGAAACTAATCTTGTATATTCCTCATCATTTTATCATATACTTTTTACCAAATTACTCATGTATCAAAATAGGTTCTGCCAATGATGTTGTAATGTTTAACAGAATTGCTTTATATCTAGCATGGGATAAATTAACATCTCATTATTCTGTCATGTAATTCGTGTACTGTAAGTTCCAATGTATGTCTTTGTGGGTACCATGCAAATATCGTTTATGAAACCAGTCATAAAAATTTGAAAAGGAATACATCCTCATGAAAATGTAAGATGGAAACAAAAATCTTAAGTGAAAATGTTAGATGGGGAAAAAACGCGTAATACGGGTAATTTAAATCATGTTTCGCAAGCATGAAATCGATACACTTAAATTAATTAGAAAAACCATCTAACAAACATTTTTTTATGCAACGAAGTATTCAGGAATTTGGCGGTTAGAAACTGTAGGATCGTTAACGGTCCAATAAGAGAATATTTTCTTTCGACCGCAAAATTCTAGAAAGTTTTACATGTATTTTTAAGTTGGCCTTGGATCAAGAAAGCATTTCATCCAGTTAAACAAATATTTGAATCAACAACCCGCGTTATATGTACATATGAGTCAACGTCTGCACATGATGAGAACAACTAATCAGTGGCCATAGCACCAGGGGAAGAATCAATAAATTAACTTCATTCCTTAGAAAAGAAGCTGAGGCTCCTGGAATATAACATTATGGTGTTTGATAAATGCATGTGTACATTTCTAGTCAAAAAACATTTTCAAAGCCCACTTTGTATTTATTTATCAATCAACTGAGAAAATAACCATCCATCGCTCACTCTTGCAAACAAGGTTCTTGCATGTGAGTTGATTACAGAACCAACCGTAGCAACAGAAATTGATCCGCTACGGAATTTACATTACAACAACTCTAAACTGAAAAAGGATATATCATATATCATAGACCACTGTGACAATTTATATCATATTAATTATAAAAAAATGCCAAATTTGTGATTCCACTAGACTTTCGAACCTATTTCGGCTTTCATATGTTATTCAAAGATTGAAGTTGTTTGAACGTTCTCCTATTGTGTCCTGTACCGCTGCACCTTCCACATTTTGTTGATTACGACATCTCTGCCCATGATCTTCTCCTCGTCTTCTTTGGCTTGTCTTGTTGTCTCTTGGATATAGGCATTTTGATTGAATCAAATCATAATCCATAACAAAAATACAGATGATGTTCTTTTTGGTAATCATAAGGACCCAATTTCATTCAGGTAGCCAAATATTGATTTTTTACCAAAAAAAAAAAAAAAAATCTGGTGAAATGATCGTAATGCAACAGCAGAAAATTAGGATGAAACGAGGACCCCCGAAACATGTAGCTCAAATAATACAATTTTTTAACAAGATACAGATCAATTTCTTTTAATGGGATGTATTTCAATGCAGATGTTGTCAAGAATCAAAAAATGAAACATACAACTGACGATGCTAATTACATTTTCACTGGTCAGAGTACATCAGACATGATACTGAAAATATAGGGAAGTATGATAACGAACACATCACCCATAAAATTGTAAATTGAGATCGCCGAGTCGTAATTCAATAGCCAATTTGATGAAGGTGACACTACAAATATTGATATTTCAAATAATGAAAATCTACTGGAATCGATTTTTTTTATCGGAGACTGAGGATGATTCGGCAATCTACCATTCTTGATGTTATATTATCACATATGCAATATTTGAATTTGAAATCCCACACATTCGGCATCTTTAATTTAATTACAGCCGTTTTGATTTGTGGTTCAAAGTTTTCAGTTACATAAGAAAATATGGAAAGTTTCTGATAAAGTAAATTTGGTATTTTCAATTGGGTTATGTAGTATTTTCAGTTTATAAATTAGTTTAGTAGTATAAAATGAAATATTTTGAATATGT